AAAAAAAAAAAAAAAAAAATTAAGTGCTTACATTAGCTTTCCTCCTTGGAATATGAATGTAAAAGAATCACATTCAGCATTCAGAATCTCTTGGGAAGGGAAGCTTCGAGATGCATCATTAAATAACACTTAGAATAGCAATTCTAATCAAGTGGCAGTAATAGAAAAAGTGACACCACCAACTAGGCTTAAACTAATACCCTGAATAAGAACTTTTGTTTTTCTGTCCTCAAAATGGTATTTCAAGAAAACCACCATGAACGAAGTCAATAGCAGTAAAGTTAAAACCAAAGCCATCCACTGGAGCAGTTACCATTGCTCCATTATGCTGCTTTTTGGACCAGAAGATCTAAAAAAATATCTAAGTGATGAAGCAATTTTTGTGTTGTCCAACACTTTTCCCAGTGAATAGTATTCTTTCATAGGCATTTTAAGAAATATCTATCACAATGTTTCTTGCTCATTAATCATTTGTGAAGCTTTTGTTTTTAATTCAAAATTTTTTCTCCTTTATCAGAGGGCAGGAATTCTCACAATTAACATTTTATAACCAAGCAGCTAACATATCTACATGTTTTTTTAAAATTCATTACTACCTATTAAATCTTTATGATTACTATAATGCCAGTTTTAATAAAATTCAAGTCTATTCAACAAGTTGATTCACAAATAATACATAAAGGTTTGTTAGAAGTTACCGAATCAAAAGAAGAGGTTCCTTTGGAAAAGAGCACATTTTCCCCTATTAAAAGCAGCTATGCTGAACTTCTCCTGTAATTCTGGGCACTAACTTAAAATTTAAGTGATCAATCCTGGTAAAAAGCACTTAAAAATTTCTTACTCGTTCCTCATACTTCTTTTTAGCCTGTAATGTCTTCCAAGAAAAAATTAGTGAATTTCAAATTCATTTATTTACAGGGAAAGGGCTTTCTGAAGAGTGGTTCCAATGGCCAGCATTTAAAAGCAAAAATGGAAAAGAGCTTAAACTAAGTAATTTAAATCAGTTATGAACATATCCTCTGCCCAACCCCCCAATTCAAGTGCATACGATGATTTCTTAAACTTTAAGGCTCTTAAAAAATGAATAAATAAATAAGCAGTCATCTGTGAAAGGCAAACAGGATGTAAAACACAACACACATAACTTAAAAACACACTCATACTAAAGGATCTCCTAGGAGCTCTGGTAGCATAGTGCCTAATGCACTTGACTGCTAATCAGAAGGCTGGCGGTTCAAACCCACCAGCCACTCCTCCGAAGGAAGACTGGGCAATCCACTTCCGTAGTGATACCGCCTTGGAAACCCAAGGAGGGGTCATCACTATGAGTCAGTCTATGAGTCCCTCTGACTGGAGGGCATGTAACAACAACAACAAGGAGTGCTAGCCCTAGTATTGTCATGTACCTTACTTAGCATTCTCATGAATAAAAAGAGTGAGTAGGGGAGATACATTTCAGTCCTGGTACTGCCCTAGACCATCAAATCCTTCTGTTAACTCCTCAGCTCAACTCATTCCTTTGACAAGGCTCATTTTGCACAGCGCATGTTGAGAGCAGGGTCAGAATTACACTCAGCAAGCAATTCAAAACAACAGGTTCTTAGTACTGAAAGGAAAGGCAGAGCCCATGGAGAAAGTTGTGCTTGGTATCATCACTACAGAATAGCCACTAATGGTTTGTTTCAGATACATTTTAAGAAACTCTATAGTAAATCGGAAACACCAATTTCTCATTTCAACAGAAATATGCCCCTAAAGGACTTCCAAGTGTGATAGTGTGGTACCGAGAAACTGCAATGAGTGAGCAACAATGAATTTTGGTTACACCGGCACACAAGAGCGAGAACGCCTGAAATCTGCAGTTCTGGCTGGCACCATGGGTGTGAAACAAAGATCATTTGTTTCTTTGAAGAATGGTATCAGATGTAACAGAGAGCTGAACAGTTCCTTTATTTAAGTCTGCATCGGATGGGTTTCTATAAGATTTGTTGGCACCTATTTTAAAGTATCTGATCTCAACAGAGAGAAGAAGGTAACTGAAGCATTGCTAGATGCCTTAGGAAGCTTGCCTTGCTCTTCAGGGGGGAAACAGAAGCAGCTGTAGCCGATCATGTAGTCATGAATCAGTTTAGTCCCGAGGAACATTTGTCAAATGTTTCACAGCAGGACTACAAAGTTAATAAAATAATAAGCAAAGTAATCTAGTTAGATCTTCATTAGTTTTCCTTATTTAGGTTATTACTCATTTTAGGTGGCCACCGAGCTCAGAGCTGCAGACAGCCCTCATAAATAAAGGCTTCTTTTCTCCTTTGTCTTTTTTATTTGCATCTTCACACATGTGAAAGAAGAACTTGAGGCCAAATGGTATCTTGGGGCACAGTCTAGAATAATTTAGTTGGAAAAGAAATATAATTCAAGTAGGATTATTAAAAATCCTCTGTAAACCATCTCCAAGAAGGGTTTATTCTAGACCTGGTCTTCACTAGTTGTTATGCACGTAGGAGTAATAAATTACCCGTGGTTGTATCTTGCAACTTATCTTTAGGGAAGACCTGCCTGATACCTACTGCTGTGCAAATTTATAATCTTGTCTTTGGAGTTGATTAAAAAGCTTTCAGAAGCTCATACAAAATGCTGAACTGTTCCCACATCTGTACATGATTATTCCATTCAGTTACAGCAAAGCACTAATAAAACCAAGATAAAAGTCTGCTCACCATCTAGATGTCATGTCCTTGACAAGCAGCTGCATCCTAACACTAGATAGCCAACTGGTGACTGTGGGGTGTTAGTTTTAAGGGGATCAAGAAGGGGAAAGAATACATAGGGTTTGGTACAAATATGTTCCTCCTCTCCAAACTTCCTTCAAAGAGCAAAGCATTCATATTGTTGATAGGGAACAGGATTAGGGGGTGGTGTTGGCAATAATGCTGTAGACTATTAAGCTTTATGAGAGCAGGGATTGTGTCTTAAGTTGTTTTATCCCCAGTATAATGCCTGCCATGTGAGGCATCCAGTAAGTAAGTAATTGTGTGGCAAATAAATGAAAAAACCAAAACCAAACTCATTGCCATGGAGTCAGATCTGACTCATAGTGACTAGGCGGTATCACTATAAAAGGAGGGGAGATCACCCAATCCACCTTCCGAGGAGTGGCAGGTGGGTTTGAACTGCCAGCCTTCTGGTTAGCACAGTCAAGTACCTTAAGCACCGAAAAGAGATTTTTCATGACTATGGGTTATCCCCACTCCTCGGAAGGAAGGTAGGGCAATCCTACTTCCATAGTGATACTGCCTTGGAAACCCAAGGAGGGGTCGCTATGAGTCGGGTTTTGACTCGACGGCACATAACAACAACAACATGGGTTATCCCAGGACATTGGATTTAAGTATCTTGGGTGGAAAGTTGATGGATTCAGGGGCTAGGAAGCAAAACCAGTAAGAGTTTAATCTCCCATCAGTGATCCATGTAAGTAAAAAGAGTAAATAACTTCATGCATCCTGTTTTTTGTATAGTATTTCATTAGTTTGTATCTTCCCATTTTCTGGTTTTGTTTTCCATATTAAAACCTTGTCTCTAACAACACTAAAAGTAATACCAGGGGCTTATGCTGCAAAAGGAGAGTGAAGAGGGGGGGCAGGGGAGACTATTGGAGTAAATGACTTTGTCCTCAGTTGACTTTGAATCTTTTTCAATCCAAGTGAACTGCTTCAACATTTTAACATAAGCACTACTAATTTATCCTCATCAAATATGGTGTGTGTGTGTGTGTGTGTTTGTGCACATAAATGGGACTTCTTTTCCTTACCTGATCCTTTAATTCTGACAGCTGACCAGAAAGGTTAGTGACCAGCTTCATGGTGGACTCCAGCTTCTCCTGCAGGTTCCGCAACTCGTTCTGTTCTCCATCAGAATCACTGCTGACCAAGGACATGGCTCTCATCCTAGGGAACCAATCAAGGTTTCGTTCCTAGAATCCATATTACAAGGAAAAAACAAAACAAACACACACACACAGAGTCAGGAGTCAGTTCCAGAGACAGACATAAGACAGTCAACCTTCAGTCTTCATATGTCATTTTTCCAGATGTCATCACTCAGTCAGTTGGCTACCTCTGTCTGTTACAGCACTAATATGCTGGGTACTTTTAGGAACACTATACTGGGAAAATGGTTTGTAAATACTCTGGAAGTGAAATGAATTTTAAGACCCCAGGTATTCCACATCCTATATATGTAAGTGTGCACCTGCTGGGGTGAGAGGATTATGAAGAGGCTAACAGTGGGGAACAGGTTCCTTGTTCCATTCCTCTATTGGTAAGTTAATGGAGAAGGAACTCTGGTGGCACAGTGACTAAGCACTTGGCTGCTAACTAAAAAGTCAGTGGTTTGAACCTACCAGCCCCTCTGCAGGGAAAGATGAGGCAGTCTGCTTCCATGAAGGTTTACAGCCTTGGAAACCCTATGGGGCATTTCTATTCTGTCCTATAAGGTCACTATGAGTCAGAATCGACTTGTTGACAGTGGGTTTTTTTTTTTTTTAAAGCTGTGGAAACCACTCCTCCACTCATGTTGCCTCTTCCTCCCAGCCTGAAATGGTTGGCAGGTGCTGTGAGTTGGGATTGGAGAGAACCAGTCATTTCCTTTCCCTGTCCATTGATATCCTTTTGATGTCTCTAGACTGTACCTAAAGGAGCTCTGGTGGTGTAGTGGGTAAGGCATTTGGCTACTAACCAGAAGGTTGGTGGTTCAAATCCACCAACTGCTGCATGGGAAGAAGATGAGACAATCTACTTCCATAAAGATTTACAGCCTTGGAAACCCAATGGGGGTTGCTCTGAGTCTGAATCAACTCAGTGACAGTGGGTTTGTTTTTTTGGTTTAGTCTATATCTAAGGAACCCTGGAAGCACAGTGGTTAAGTGAAAGGTGGTGGTTTGAACTCACCAGCCACTCTGCAGAAGAAAGGTTACAGCCTCAGAAACCCTATAGGGCAGTTCTATTCTGTCTGATAGGAATTGACTCTATGGCAATGGTGACAGGGAGCATATACTTGTTAACAGTGGTATTTCACCACTGATGAACAGAGTGGGACAGAATGGACTTTTTCTCCCACCCCACTTCCTTCTGCCTTTCTCCTGAAGCATATGCCTCATAAGTCCTGTGCAGAGAGGCAGGAATGAACATTAAGAAAGGCTTAATGAGAATGATAAGGGGAAGAAGACTGACTCATCCAGATCATTTAGTGTCACTTCTTAATTGGCTCATTTTGCTCTCTTCAGGATACATTCTAATGTTGTTGTTATTTGCTGTGGAGTCAGACCCGACTCATAGCAACCCCTCCTTGGGTTTCTGAGGCGGTTATCTCTACAGAAGTAGATTGCCTAACCTTCCTTCCGAGGAGTGGCTGGTGGGTTTGAACCGCCAGCTTTCTGGTTAGCAGTCAAGTGCCTTAGGCATTACATTACCAGAGCTCCTTACATTCTAACAGACATTTAAAATAGACCATGTCCTTCCCTTTGCCTCCCTCCAAAAAATACACACACACAGATGATTTTGTAATTGTTGCTCTGTATGCAGCAGGACCAGAAAAATTTTTCTGTATAGTAAATATTTTCATCTTTGTATGCTATACATATTCTTTGTAGGTCTCTCTCACAACTACTCAACTACTATGAGGTACAGCCTGAGAACAGCCATTGACAGCAGACAATATGTAATTAATGGCATGGCTCTGTTTCAATAAAACTTTATTTACAAATACTAGTGGTAGGCCAGATTTGGTCCACTGGTCATAGTTTGTTGACCTCTGTAGTACATGATAGAAGGCATCAACATACATAAAAGCAAAATTCCACAAGACATATCTAAATATTACAAATTGTGTGAGACAATTATAGTTTTTGGGTTTGACCTGAGACAAGCTAGCAATACATAAACCATACAAGAATTAATCAAAAAATATTACAAAGAAGGCAAACTGCATTGGCAATGTGGCATCATGCCTACTTCAGAGCATTTGCTTAAGACGTGGGGAGTCTAGTGGGTGGGAACTCACTAGCCTGTCACCTTAGTATAGTAACTAAAACTTAATAGGTGCTTGATAAATATTTATGGAAGGAAGGAATGGTATCCTTCTCTGTTTCCTGCATGGGCTCTGATGACAAATATTTAACTGGTAAACTTGAGTTGTTCATAATGACTGCTGGAGAAGAAAAGTGACAATCTCTATCCTCTTATCTACCACCCATTTGTTAGTTTACTGTATTGTGGTGACTTCATTGTTGCAGTCATGCTGGAAGCTATGCCAGTGGTATTCCAAATGCCAGCAAGGTCACCCATGGGAACAGGTTACAGTGGAACTTCCAGACTAAAATACACTGGGAAGAAAGGCCTGGCAATCTACTTCCAAAAATTAGCCAGTGAAAACCTATGGGTCATGACAGGACATTGTCCAATTTACTTGCTTTGGATAGGTCATCAGGAGGGACCAATCACTGGAGGAGGACATCATGTTTGGTAAAGCAGAGGGCCAGTGAGGGCAAGGGAGACCCCTTGGTTAGATGGAGTGGCACAGGACCGGGCTACATTTCATTCTGTTAGTACATGAGGATGCCATTAGTTAGAGTCAGCTTGACTACAGCTAACCACCACCACCTTCTTATACCAATTGCCCTGTGATAAACGTTAATTCACATGTGATTTTTAATGTTAGCCTATATTCATCTTTATTAATTTCCCACCCCAGAGCAACGGGCAAAAGACCTTTCAACACAATGTTGTTGTTGTTGTTGTTAGGTGCCGTCAAGTCGTTTCCGACTCAGCGACCCCATGCACAGAATGAAACACTGCCTGATCCCGCGCCAGCTCCATGATCCCTGCTATACTTGAGCCCATCATCGCAGCCACCATGTCAATCCATCTCATCAAAGGCCGCCTCTTCTTTCATCGACCCTCCACCTTACCAAGCATGACATCCTTTTCCAAGGAATGGTCCCTTCTGACAACATGACCAAAATAGGTGAGACGAAGTCTGGCCATTCTCACTTCCAAGGAGCATTTCGGGTGCACTTCCTCCAGGACAGATCTCTTAGTTCTTTCAGCAGTCCATGGTATTTTCAGCATTCTTCTCCAGCACCACAATGCAAAAGCATCAACTCTTCCTTGGTCTTCCTTATTCATTGTCTAGCTGTCACATGCATATGAAGCGAATGGAAATATGGCTTGTGTCAGGCATACCTTAATCCTCAAGGAGACATCCTTGCTCCTCAGCACTTGAAACAGTTCCTTTGCAGTTGACTTTCCCAATGCTACACGTCGTCTGATGTCCTGACTGCTGCTTCCATTGGCATCGATTGTAGAACCAAGCAACATGAATTCTTTGACAACCTCAATCTTCTCTCCATTTATTGTGATGCTGCTCATTGGTCCAGTTATGAGGATTTTT